TTGACTAACTTTTCACTACCATCTGTTACTGTGAATATCTTAATGAAATTCAAACCAAATAAACTTTAACTGCATGATCAGATATTTATTACAAAACTTTAGCAGGGGCACAGCTCCAGCTCTTGATTATTCACTCAAAATATTCCAAAAATATGAATTAAACAGTTCATTTGAGATAAAATTATAGAACTGAGCTTTTCTAAAATAGTAACCTAATAAGTCATCAAATTCAACATTATGTAGTGTTTTACCTGGAGAGTACAAATCATTTCACACATGTTGCACCTGTATTACCAGGACTTCTTTATAACAATTCTTATTAAGTTTAATATAATTAAAACTATATGTTGTTGAACATTTTTATTCTTAGAAGTACTTCTTTTTAATAAAGAGCTGCGAATCAATCACATGCACAACTGAATTGCAATTCAAAGTGTCATTTTGTGGGACCCAAACGAGACAGGAGACGGGGGTTAAAGGGAAAAACAAGTTTATTAAGGGAATCCGGGGGAGTGTGGAGCACCAGGAGGCAGGTGAGGAATCCGGAGTGGGTGTGCTGGTGTAGTGGTGGGGCAGGAGGGGGATTTCCAGTGCAGGTGCTCGTGTACGGTTCTCTCGTGTAGGTGCTGGTGAAGGGGGAAAATCAGGCTCGTGGTCTCGAGGTGGATAAGGCTGGGGTGAGAGGCGGATGGCTGGACGCTGAGACCGGCGGAGGAGACGCTGGAGAACAAAAAGAGGACAACAACGGTTACTCAAGACTTAAGACAGCTTGGCAAAACGCACATGTGCTAGAGACAGTAGCGAGACGGCCTGAATGTACCACCCATGGTGTTCACAATCGTCTGGCACAGGAGTCCAGGTGAGCATGGCTTTAACCTGTCCGCTGATGAGGCGATGAGCCGCCGCTGTGCCAGCGCGGGAGCGTCCTCCTCCGACCAGCCCCGCCCAGCCTGAAAAAGAGTCGCACAGCCAACCGAACACACAGAAAAACAGCAGGATCCAAAACACACAGTGAAACATGTCCATAACCCTCACAATTTAAATTTTTCAAAAAGTAAAATGGATCATTGCTTATGATGAACAAAGTAATTCTCTACTTTTGATGGTCACCAGACCCTTTGATTCCACCACCTTTTGTTCATTGTTCTCTTGCCACCTGTCATTAATTCTTCTCCTGCTCTCGACGAAGGCGGACGCTTTTTCTCTTGCTCCCTCCCGGCCCTTATCTGCCCTGCTTGCTACTCTTTGTCCTGTGCTGTCTTAGTCTGAATCTATCAGAGCCTCTCTCTGCATTTCATTTCAAACTCCAAAACCTGAAATCATGGATTTGATCAGCTGGTCTCTCAACGCAATTGATCAAATTTTCTCGATGAGAAGACTGAGCAAAGGAGAGCCCGCCTGCCCCGACGGAACATTTGCAGCGGGATACACGATGGACTCCTGGAAGGAGTGGAGGGTCGTGTGCCTCTCTATACTTTCCGTGGAGGATGTTGAAGACGTCTACTTAATTGGGATCATGATAACAGGCTTCCTGCTGTCTGGAGTTTGCGGGTTCCTGCTTTATCGCAAAGTTCAGAAAAGCGGTTTTGGCATTTGACAAGCTGGCCGTCATGGAGGGATTGCTTCGTGCTGTCAACTCTCAGACTCAAGCGATATGCGCAGGCTGGAAGGGGTTCCAGAACTGATTCACAAGATGGGCACCAACTTGGAGCGGTTGAACAGCCCGATCTGGATGTAATGGGCCATCAATTCGGCTCTTTTGGATCACAGAGAGAGGGACAGAGAGTGGGACTCTAAGGACTGACGGTAAATCCCAAGTCGGCCTGACCCAAACAATCTTTCTTTATCTTCATTCGGCTCCCCCGCTCCGGCCTTGACCTTGGAAGGCTGATACCTCTACACTTCTCCTGGATGTTATGCAGACAGATGCTCAGCCCCTCCCTCCCCTACTCCTTTTCCTGTGAACTTTGTCTCTGGACCAGAACTCTTCAAGGTCGTCTCCACGGCAACGGCCGTGTCCCATCACAGACCAGGATGCTGCGGGCTGATGCGAGGCGCCTTGTGGCTGCGCGCTCCCCCCAGTGTCTGAGCTGTGACACCTCCCCTCCCCAACACCCTCCCCCCTCCCACATGTGCAAGTCTTGAGTTTTGTTGTGATGTTTTATCACGCTGCTATGTGCTGAGGTGTTTTTTTTCCTAATCCCACACTGTGCCCCCCACCCCAAAAAAATACAGAACTGGGTGTTGGGCCGACGGATGAGACTCATCATGACTAAGAGGTATAGAGGTGAAACATCTATTAGAAATGTGTGAGTCATAATGAGTGTGTATGAAAGCAGATACTGTGTGGAGGCGGAGAGCCACAAAAGAGTATAAAAAGGCATCACAAAGAGGCATTTGTTGGAGATCGCTTCAGACGGAGGACATTCGTGGATGCCGTTCTGACCAGAAGACTGGAGGATGCTTGCGGGACTCTCAGATGAAAATCGGAGTTCTTAGAACGTTCTTCTGTTGGCTAAGTGGAGAAGATACGACGGAGCT